GCTGTTGAGCGCTTGGTGACTGGAACTCAGAAACTGTTTGATATGATAATTCGTTGGAATTTTTAAGCTGCGCTAATCTGGACTTTTTATCTCTGGTCTCCAGTCTGGATTTCGTGCGATCTCTCAATTGCGTGTGTGTGCTCAAGGTGACGAGCAGTTTGGCTCAATGCACAATGACTGGTCAATTATTTTCTGCATCTCATTTCTGCATCCCATCAATTATGATGCAGACTGTGTTTCTCGGTTGGAAGGGAACCCCGTATGCAGAAAGCTCATACGATGACGACTCTGGTGTGGATTTTCGTCTGGCTTAAAAATTAAAAGACTAGTCCCAGTCTGGTCTTTTCTTGGGGGGGGGGGGGGCAAGACTTACGTTTTWTTWTTTACTGCCCCTGTCCTTTGGGACATCTGTCGAAATTGGAATGATACAAAGAACTGGAAAGTTGAAAGAAGATTAGCACGGCCCCTGTACAAGGATGACACAGAGACCGAGAAACGGTCGCGATGATTAAAAAGAAAGTAAAAAAAGTAATGTGTATTCTATAATGTACTGCCTGTGCACAATTAATGATGTCTGTGTTCCCTTGATTCAATTTCAAATTTTTAGTAATTGTTTACTGTTAAGCAACCTATGTTTGTGATCGGTATCGTATGCAGAATCTCATATGATTCCAGAGTCCAGACCCAGTGCGGGTTTTGGATTTTTGATATTTTTAGCTGACCGAAGTTTGACTTGTAATAAAACTTATAAGAAACTTAAGGAAAGGTTATTCGATATTTAATATTTATGAACTGTCCATTTCCATGTGTGCTTGTGACGAGGTCCGAGGCAGCGCAAAAGTACAGACATTCCCAGTGAATGGCTTTCTGTGTTTCATCAGTTTTGAAACAGACTATGTTTGTTAAACTTTGTTTGTGAATTTGTGTCATATCATGTGAAGAAAGCTCATACGAGTACGGCTCCGGTTTCGATTTTCGTCTCACGACTAAAGTTTGATTTTATTTTTTTATTTTTGAATAATGTACCTACCAGGTGGTTGATTCCGTGAAGCGGGGAGAGCAGGCTATGGTGTTTGTCAATTCTCGAAAGGACACCGTGAAGACGGCACGTATTCTGGTAGGTTCTTTTGCAATACGCCCCATGTTGAAGAAGCGGAAGAAAAAGGAAGGGAGGGAGAAAAGGGGTTCGATTCTGTTCGAACTTTGAGGTCTGGCCATGGTCCAAACATGTTTATTGGGGGCCAAACATGTTTATTGGGCTTCTTTTCCTTTCTTTTTTTTTTTTTTTTTTTTTTTTTTTTTTTTCCCTTTCGGCTTTCTTTACAAGTGTCTTGTTCATCGCTGTTATTGATTTCAGTCATAGTCAGCCTGTGAAACATGCTGGCCATTTGGCCTATAGACCCCCGCATCAAGTCTTTGCAAAAGAAAATGCGAGGCACAAGGCCTCGATACGCCCTACTGGGCCCTATTTTCAGCACAGTAAATTCAGGCAGTTGCGCAGCGCCAGTTGGTTGAGAGCGCCCAGGCCCAGGCTGCCCTTATTGAATGTAACTAAGGCAGGTCCTGGGCCAGATACGCGATATGGACCGAACACAGGCTGTGGGCAGTTGGGCGAGAGTAACCACCTCAGGCCCTGGGCCTGTTTCGTTTGGACTGGGGCTCAGCCTCTCTGGGCCTACCGGAAGCGTCTGGGCAGGGGCCCAGCGCAGCCAGGCTGCACGCAAGCAGGCAGGCCACTTCCATTTAGGAAAGTGCCTGCCCACGCATTCGGCATTCGGGCACTGACTCCATGCTGCACTAACGCTGGCCAGCTGTTACATCTTCGACTCACACGGGTCCTACCGGACCCGACTTAGGGCCGGAGGGACACACCAGGGCCTAAAGGCCCGACCTTTGGGGTTACAGGCCCTAAAGGCCTGATTTTGGACTAATCCCATCGGGTAGGCCCAAACGACACTTCGTTTGGGCCTGGCGGCGCTCTTGAAGCTGCCGCCCGCCGATTGAGGCTGAATCGTCCATCTGGACGGTCCAGGGTCTGGCCTGGCCTCGCAGCATTGAGGCCAGATCATTG